TCCTTAGATGGTTCCAGCACCTCTCTGTGTTCCTCTAGTCCCTTTGCCTGAAACCTGCTGAGCCCCGGCAGTGTGGAGGGTGAGATAGGTGGGACACAGGAGAGGGTGGTATGGGGCTTGGGCCAGCTCTGTTTCTCCCTCCACCCCATCTCTGCACCTGTGCCAGTCTTACCTTCCCCTTGGGTCTCAGGGGGCAGTTGCTGGTACCCTGTGGTTGTCCCTACAGGGGCTGAGCATGAGAGGAACACTTCTTGAGGCCTGGCCTCTGTCACTGTGAGCCCATTTCTCCCGCAGGTGAGAGAAGACTGGAAGTGTGTTGCCATGGTCATCGACAGGATCTTCCTCTGGCTCTTTATTATCATCTGCTTCCTGGGAACCCTGGGGCTCTTTCTGCCTCCATTCCTGGCTGAATGATTTGATGTCATGTCCCTTATGTTGGCTCCAAGGCAGTCCTGCCAGCCAGCAATGACCACCGTTAACTACAGCTGCCTCTAGAGTGCCCTCTGGAGCCAGCGCCATCTGCCTGCGGTGTTTCTGGGGAGACAGCACAAGCTCTGAAGGTCTTCCTGGAGCACTCACTGTGATGCTACTGCACCTGGTACTGGGAATCTGCTGGACAGAAAGCCTGGTTTAGGAAGCAAAGGAGCTAGAAAAGAAGGAGGACTCTGCCCTGCAGAGGGGTGGGACTAGCACAAGGAGAAACAATATGGCCTTGAGGGAGGGGCACATGAGGGAAGGGGAGGCTGCCTCAGGAGTCGAGGGTCTATGAGCAATGGTCTAGATTTAAGAATGAGCCCAAGTTCCCAGGGGAACCCCCAGGCCAGTGTTGGCGAGGCTGGTAGTGCAGGTTGGGCTCTTTAAACCAGGCTGAGGAAGTAGTTCAGTGTGAGTTTGCAGGTCTTTGAGGTGTGTGGTGTAGCAGCCGAGGAGCAAGGGACTTTACAGAAAAAGCAGGGAGCAAGTGTGGGTGGCCAGTGGAGTGGAGCCTTCCCCTCCACCCAAAGCACATTCAGCACCCCCTGGGCTTCCCTGAGGCATCATGCCTCCCTCTTCCTTGTAAAAAGGTAGCCAGAACTGAGAGCTGCTGCTGTGGGTGCCGTGTGCCCATGAACCTGCAGTGAACAAATCGGGAAGGCCATCCCTAGCTGTTCTTCCACAGTGTCCTGATCCCTGTAGTCTGTGGTCATCACACCTCTCTGGAGTTGGGGATCTCTGCTTCAAACTCCTTCAGTTCTGAACTCCTCCCAGCCAGGGACGCTTTAGTTTCTCTCTCCCTAGGACCTAGCACAGCACAGGGTGAGGGGCATCGGCACTCTATGTTGTGTGTGGTGGAGGGGAAACACTGAACATTTTGGGCTCCACGCCTGCTGGGTGATGCCAGTTCCCTTGGGGTGTCCCTCCAGCCTGTTGTTCCTGTCCTTCCCAGAGCCTCACCATGTCTGACCTGCTCTGGGCCATTCTGTGCAGCTTGTTCTTGCCCTGAGGAATGCAGAGCCTGGTGGGTCGAGCCTGTCCTGAGGTGTACTCCAGGCTGTCCAGACAGTGTGGAGCCCCAGGCAGGAAGCAAAGTAGGGCAAACTGCTGACTCCCCTCCATCATGGGGTCCTGTCCTTCTGAACCTCTTCCTCCTCCTCAGCACACAACACTCCTTCACACATCTGGAAAGACCTACCTACCTGTGACCCTGGTCCAGGCCCTGTTACTCAGTTCGCTCCTGATAGCACCCCCCCCAACTCCGTGGCCCTCTGGCCTCATTCCTCCTCATTTGTAGCCTCCACCCCCAACCCCGTCTCTCTGCCTAACTGAGGCTCCCAGAGGTGATCTCCTGCTGCAGGGACAGCATGGAGATCTGTGCTGTTCATGTTTCCTGTCCATCCATCTTGCACGTGAGTAAAGTGGTTAAATAAAGCCAAGTCTGCTGCTCCTTCAGCTGTGTGACCCCCCAGAGCCCAAGTGGTCTGGGTGCAGCTGAAAAAGATCCCACATGGACAAAAGTGCCCTGGGTCCCTCCTGGAAAGTGGCCCATGAGTCAGGTACCCTACTCTGCAGTTGGGACAAAGGGCTGGAGCACACCTGTCCCACTGCCAGGTGCTTTCCTTGGCCATGGCCCAGCATCAATCAGCCCTTGATCTGCACCCAAAAGAACGTCATCCATCTCTTGCCTGGCTGTGGTTCATGGCCAGCCTCCTCCCACAAAGGGCACATCAAACCAACACCATAGTCCAACAAACCACAAAGCAAATGGTATGAGTTTAATTCAACCACAAATCTGATAGAAAGAAGGTAAAAGAAGGCTCAACACAAACACTTGAGAAAGGAAGGGATCAGATGAGAAAAAGGGGTGGGGGAGAAGAGGAGGAGTAAGCAAAAGCAGGAAAAGTAAAGGAAGAAAGAGAGGAGGTTGCAGGGAGAGAGCAGATTGTGGTCCAAAATCCAGTTCTGGCCGCTGTCTCTCTGTTCCTTCCCCTGATACTTGGTGTGATAACAAGTATCACACCAAGCAGCCTGAACAGCATAGTCTGTGGTGGGGCAGGGAAGGAGTCATGCAAAGTGGTGAGGGAAGGACCCCTCACCCAAGACCTTCCCTGAGAAGACCATGTGACCAAAGGCAAGGCAGGGGAGGTGCAAGACGGGTGGGAGTGGAAGACGCAAGCGGGTGCAGGAAGACACACCCCCACCCTAGGTCACTCTGCAGGTGGGTGGGCCAGATTGGACAGGACCTTGGCCTGATCCACGCATCCAGCAGGTTCTTGGCATCCACGGCCAGGGTGTGGGAGGTTGTGAGCATCTGTCACTTGCACTCCTTACTCAGGAAGCTCAGGGCATTCTGCTGCGTGCACCAGCCATATTTTGTTGATGAGGTCTGCCAAGTCCTAGTTGAGCAGCTTCTGGGTTCC